GGAGGTAAGGCAGGTGGTGACCACAGACGGGGCCTTTTTGGCGGTGGCCCCTCGCCATCACGATATCTTCCTCCTTGAGGCTCACTGGGGGCCTGTCTTAATTTCCTCTGGACACCAGGCTTAAAACCTCTCTCTTTAGCCTTTCAACTAAAGGGCATCCCATCTAATTTTTTATGCTGTTTTATCATCTCCTCCAAACCCACAAACAGCTTTGTCCGTCTCATTTTAGGCCGCTGAGTTTGCTTCGTGTTCCCGTTAGCGTCCTAGATTGGTTTTCTCGCGTGCCGGTCCACTGCCTTTGTGTACTGGCTCGCTTTGATTTATTTCTCGCATACTTGAACTGTTTGATCCGTCTGCATATTCGCGGCTCTGATTCCTTCACATTACCCGTTTGCTTGGTTTTGGATGATCGTTGCGAGCTGTGCGAAGCCGGTCTGGAAGGGTGGCGCATTTAAGAAAACGGAGGCACATTTGCCGTCTAGACCCTTGGCTTCCTGTCGCCATTTTCCTCACACGGCCCCTCTTTGCAGCTCACCTTTTGACCTCCTTTCCCCCCACAGAGCATCCAGGACCAACTAGGGGAAGAGCTGTTGCAGGAGCTGATCAACTACTGCTTGAGCTACATCGCAAAAATCAAGCTGCCCCGGAAACGGTGAGTGGGCCGGGGTTTCCTTGCCGTGGCGGGGGTGAATTTGCGGGCCTCCCTGCCCATCGTAAAACCTGGTCCCTCCAGGCTAATAACTGTGGGTGGGATTTCTCCATCGAGCTGTCAAATCGCCAACTGAATGAGTGGCCGTTGCTGCATCCAGTGGCAGTGAGTTCCACGGATTAATCCTTCCTTCGCTCGCCTGTCGTTTGCAGCCACTCGGGCCAAAAATTCTCTCTCTCTCGCCCTCGGCTCTTTCTGCAGTGTCGTTCTTTGTAACTGGGTGAGACGTGCGTCACGCCTGGAGCAGACAAACCGTTGCAAACAGAGTGAGCGCCGGGGGGGCCCGATCCGGCCCACGTGGACCCTGTCTTCCCTGCTCCCCTTGTTTGTATGCTCAATTCCTGCCAGTTTGGTATAGTGGTTAGGAGAGCTGGGTTTGATTCCCCACTCCTCCACATGCAGCCAACTGGGTGACCTTGGGTCAGTCACAAGTTCTCTCTCAGAGCTGTTCTCTCAAGGGCAGTTCTCTCAGAGCTCTCTCAGCCCCACCTACCTCACAGGGTGTCTGTTGTGGGGAGGGGGAGGGAAGAAGATTGTGAGCCGCTCTGAGACTCTGAGTGAAGGGCGGGGTATCAATCCTCCTCCTCCTCCTCCTTCCTGTTTCAGTTCCATTTTTCTCCTCCCCTTCCTCTAACCTCAGGTTGGACGTGGTTTCCCCCCCCCTGCCTTTTATCCTCACAACAATCCTGTGGGGTAGGTTAGGCTGAGAGCTGCTGGCCCCGGCTCACCCAGTGAGTTTCATGGCCAGTTGGGGCATTTGAACTCAGGTCTCTTCTACGTCTCACTGGCAATGCTCCCTCTAAGCCGTGGAGTCCTGTGAGCAAAAACTCTACTTTGTGAGCTACCGGCATTAAAGTTGTGAGCGAGCGATTTGTCTACGGCATGAATTACTTTGCGCTGGAGGCTAAGAAGCTGTGAGCTAGCTCACACTAAGTCAGCTTAGAGGGAACACTGCTCAGTGTCCATCCTGTCCTGTCTCTTCCCCTTCCGCAGTGTGCTGTGTGTTCTTTTGGTGCTTTGGGTCTATGGTGCTGCTTTCTCAGCCCCCACCCCATTTATAGGCCCTCCCCCTCGAGGGCTTTGCTCTCCCCCCCGCATCCATCTAGGGTTGTGATACCAGACTTTTCTCACCCAGGGGCACCTTTATTGAATTCCGAAGCGGGATGTTGAATGTGTGCCCCGTGGGTAGAAGCTGCAGCCGGGAGGAACGGATAGAGTTCTACGAGCTCGATAAGGTCAGTGGATATTCAGAAATGGGTAGCATTCTGTCTCTGGGGAACGTCCTTTCGGTGGAATCCCGCACTCCTTCCCGGTTGAAGATTTTTCTCAGGTCCGGCTTCCCTGGGGACGATGGAAGCTCAGTACCTCCAGTGACCAACCGTGAATATATGAGCAGCCGTGCAGGGTCAGACCAATAGCCCATCCGGCCCTGCAGCCTGTCTTGCGCAGCGACCAGCCGCAAACCTTCAGAAGGCTCACAAAGAGAGCATGGCGCCCCCAGCTTAAAAGTGCAGAAGAGGGCAACTAGGATGATAAAAGGGTTGGAACGCTTTCCCGATGAAGAAAGGTTAAAGCGCTTGGGGCTCTTTAGCTTGGTGAAACGGCGGCTATGGGGTGACATGATCGAGGTTTATAAGATTATGCATGGGATAGAGCAGGTAGAGAAAGAGGTCCTTTTCTCCCTTTCTCACAAGACAAGAACTCCTGGGCACTCAATGAAATTGCTGAGCAGTCAGGTTAGAGCGGATAAAAGGAAGTCCTTCTTCACCCAAAGAGTGATTCACACATGGAATTCACTGCCACAGGAGGTGGCGGAGGCTACAAGCATGGATGGCTTCAAGAGGGAATTAGATAAGCTTTGGAGCAGAGGTCCATCAGTGGTTATCAGCCACAAGGTATAGATAGGAACTGTCAGTCTGGGGCAAGGGATGTTCTGTATTCTTGGTACTTGGGGGGGGGGGAATGGTGGGAGGGCTTCTAGTGTCCTGGCCCCACTGCTGGACCTCCTGGGGGCACCTGGTATTTTTGGCCACTGTGTGACCCAGAGTGTTGGACTGGAGGGGCCATTGGCCTGATCCAACATTGGCTTCTCTTATGTTCTTATGTTCTTAACCCTCCCCACAGTGACTATTATTCAGAGGCACACTGCCTTTGAACAGTGAGGTTCCACATCATCATCTTGGCTAATAGCCGCAAATGGGATTTCTCCATCGAGTTGTCAAATTGCCAACTAAATAAGCGGCAATCCAGTGGCAGCGAGTTCCACAGGCGAACGGCCATTTGTGTGAAGGATGGCTTTCTTTTCCCTGCCCCGTATCTGTTTGCTCACCAACTTCATTGGGTGCCCCTAAAATTCTAGTATAACAGGAGACAGAGACTGACTCGGGAGCTCCAACTGGTCCAGAATGCGACGGCGCAAGGCCTGACGGGAGCGTCACAGACGGCACGTATACATCCAGTGCGTCACCCTCTACACTGGCCCCCAATGGAATACCAAGTCAAGTTCAAGGTTTTGGTACACATGCGCAAAGTTGGAAGCAGGAGGAGGTTCCTGGAATTGGAGAATGGATTAAAAAACTACTTTTTATGGTTGAAATGGATAAGATGACAAGGAAATTGAATGATATGGCAGCAGAAGACTTTTTTGAGGACCGGAAAGATTTAATAGAATACTTGGAAAAATATTGGGATGTGAGAGACAATTTATTTTGCTTTGGTAACCATTGAGTATGGAAAATTGTGAAAAAATAAGTCACCTGTTGAATATGTAGAGATAGAGAGGAGTACTTAAGAGTAACCTAAGGATTATGCAGGAGGTTGTAGCACTGTGGGAAGCCATACATAGGGGGGGAAAGGGCGGAGGGTAGGATATAAAGGGATAAGAAGTGTAATACAAATGTTGGACTTTATTGAATATATCCTAAAAATAAAATGTTTACAAAAAAAAAGTAAGTTCAAGGTTTTGGTATTGACCTCTAAGACCTTGAGTGGTCAGGGACCGGTTACCGATGGGACCGTCTCCTCCTTTACGTCCCCGGGAGAGAGTTTTGCTGTTCAGACAGCAATCTTCTGGTGGTCCCCAGCCCCAAAGATGTCCGGCTGTCCTTGACCCAGGCCAGGGCCTCTTTGGTAAGGGGTGTGCTTGACACAGACCATAATAATCACTGCCTTGGGGGTGTTTTATTTTTTTGAACAGAAGGAGCACATCAGAGAGAAATTCGTCGCTGACCTGCAGAGAGAATTTGCAGGGAAAGGCCTCACATTCTCCATAGGTAAGATTTTTTTAAAGCACAAAATGGGGGGAGGGGAGCATTTTCCTCTGGGCCAAATCTCCAGAACATGGTGTATTCCACGAGACGAGCATTTGGGATTATCTCTAATATGGGACATGAAAGGTACAGCCCTTTGGGATGTAATGTTTCTCTTGGGAGCTGTTGTGATTGTTAACGTGTGGCGTTTGGCGTGAGGAGATCCACGGAAGTGCAGGGAAATGTAATATCCAGATGCGGCCGGCCCCTTCGAGGTCTCCAGGACATCGTCATGCAGATCTGCCGTTTTTCCCGCCAAAGAAATGCAAATCCAATACGAATTTGCTAAGCTGGGAGCAGTGTTCCCTCTAAGCTGCGTTAGTGTGAGCTGGCTCACAGGTCTTTAGCCTCCGGCTCACAGATTTCTGTCGTCGCTCAGGAAGGGATGGGCGCCAGAGAAACTGATTTGCGCTGCAGCCAAATGGCTCGCTCACCACTTTAGTGCCAGTCGCTCAGGAAGGAGAATTTTTGCTCACGAGGCTGGCAGCTTAGAGGGCGCATCGGCTGGGAGTCTTCCTCAGCCCGTCTCCCTTAATTCTGAAGAAAATTGGAGCAGAAAAGGAAAAGAAAGAAATCAGTCGTCCGCTGTGCTGTTAACAGCTTTTAAAGAATCTTTCTTCCTCCCAGGGGGCCAGATAAGCCTCGACGTGTTCCCAGACGGCTGGGACAAGCGCTATTGCCTGGGCATCGTGGG